ATTGGCCAATGTTTGTGGCCGACAGCCATCTTTTGTGGCCGACCAGCCACCAGTCCATTTTTGTGCAAAAATGAACCTGTTTTTGGAGCAGAAGCAATGTGGAGGTTGGTTCACTGATCATAAACCAAGGCGAGTGCAAACAGAGGCAACTGACGGCAAAGCGATCGATTTTCGGGACGAGCCAACCGAGCATGCATGTCTTCCCCACCCGTGAGGCCACTTTATCACTTTAATTAATTAGTATAGCTAATTATTCAAGTGTTGTAATATTTTAATTAGTTTGTGTAACTAGTTATGCAAATTCAATGTGTTGTAATAATTAATTAGCCAGAAAGTTAATTAGTTGGCTTGAAATACTTAATTAGCTTAGCTTAGCTTATCATAGCTTAGCTTATTTATTCGGACCCTCCTTCGTGAGGGCATATTGTTGTAATAAGCATGTGTGTGTGTGTGTATGTCTTTCAACCCCGCGTCTTTCTCCCTTTTACTTAACCGCTTTCGATGGTTTGTTTAGGGCATGTTTTGATTAGCATACCTTATGCTTGCATGTTTGCATCATTCATTTGTCTTGCATGCACCGGGCTCGGGGCATCATCCAAACTGCATCGTATTTTAATACACTTACTTGAATACGTGTATCAAATTGTTGCATTCATATGCCATCTTAGATAGCCGAGCCTATTAGTAGCATTATTGCATATGTTGCATTAGGCATTCTGTATAGTTAGGATCATGCATATTTCTTACTAGCTTTTGTTTTGGCGCAGAGTACACTGTAAGTGTTACGCTTTAGCATACTTGCATGAGTGTGAGTGTTGTCATGTTTAGCATGCTTGCCATGAGGCTACTTGCTTAAGTGATTAACTGCATGAATGCCTGTGGGTGGAGGCTCTATTTCTTGAATTGGGACAATTCGATGAATGTGATTTTTAAGCCCACTTTACGAATTGGCAAATCATGTTTTAAGCCTACCTGAGGGTGGCAAATCCGCGCTTTAGCCTACTTGCGAGTAGTACTTTCAAACCATTTTCGAAAACAAACATGAGTTGATTTGTTCCAAGTCTCGCGGCTTAGTCTATACTTGTATATGTGTGTCACGTACTAAAGTTAGCTAATAACTGGATAAGAACACATGAGGTTTATAAAACAACATATCATGA